ATGATTGTACAGTAAAATCCATGGAATTATTTGACTGTATTAAAATAAATCAAATTCATAGATAAAAGATCAAATTAGCTAAAATATATATTTTTTAAAACACGCAAGAGTGCGGGATGTGTACAGCTTTAAATAATAAATGATGTCCATTAGAATTTATCAGAAATCTGTGCTTTTTCGAGACCTCGGCAGGTGCTGATTCTGTGCAGGCTTACCAGTGTTTACTGACTAATAGCCAATCACATCTTTGTGACACGTCTAAATCCTCCTAAAATTGTCAAATGTAACCCTACAGGCCCTTTGAGGACAGGCACCAGTTTTGAGGATGATCTGAGTCTGGGTGCAGAAGGTGAGTAGAAGCAACACAATAGCAACAGTAACTCAGGTATAATGACAGCTGGAAGTGTTTTTAACAATGTAAAAGAACACACACATCACCTTTAATGAGCAGCTCTCTTCTAAAAATGTCTGCTGAATGACTAATAGTTTCACATAAACTGAACTCTATATTGATAGAATTTATTTTGTTAGCAACCCTCGATTCATTATATTCCACAACATATTGGCTAACTGCTAATTAGAGGCAATTTTGTGGCAGACCCCTGTGCCGCCTCAATACATTTTGAATAATTGGGTTCTTTGTAATGTCAAACATCTTTCTTGAGTGACTTCATTGTACTCGTCAGAAAGGGTCTCAAGTCGGTCTGATGGCATTGACTATACACTGTACGAAGCAGCACTACATTTATGTTTTAGAGAGAACCTCCCCTCACTCTCCAGCACATCTTGTTTATTATAATGAGCCACTCTTACAAAATTTCTAGGCCTACATCCGGAAAGTAACACACTTGCACAAGGCCAGATACAGGAAGTAATGAATAAATGGTCTTTTGGGACAAGAGTGTGTTTAGTTTAAGCTACTACCAGAAGTTGAAGATTTTTGTCAGACTTCTGCTCACCAAGGCTGCATGTATTTGATAAAAAAATACTGTAAAAACCACTTTTACAATTTAATATTAATATTTAATTTGAAATATTTTAATATATTTTAAAATGTATGATGACAAAGCTGAATTTCCAGCATCATTACTCCAGTCTTCAGTGTCACACGATCCTTCAGAAATCATTGCAATATGCTGATTTGGTGCTCAAGAAATATTTCTTATTATTATCATCATCATCAATGTTGATTATTTTTGTGGAAACCATGATTCTTTGATAAATAGGAAGTACGAAAGAACTGCATTTATTTCAAATATAATTTTTACTGTCACTTTTGATCAATTTAATCCATCCTTACTGAACAGAAGTAATAATTTATTTAAAATATTCAGTATTAATTTCAGAAAAAAATGTGAACCCAAACATTTGAAGGGTATTGTACTTAGTACTTTTCTTTCCTTCACTTATACCTGCTATTATTTATTTCACAGCCAATGCATTATATGCTGCATCAGGTGCGCCACATTTTAGGTAAGAAACAGGTTGACTTTGCCGCACCATTGACTTACCACCTTCATTCTCTGGCTCATGGTTACTCATTTATGCTTCTAAATCCCTTCTTTCATTGTATTTACATTGATTATTTGTGTATCAACAGCACTCCTCAACAGAAGCTTAACCTGCCATTGTTCAACATGGGCCAGAGTGTCGCATCCAGTGCCTTCTCAAACGCTACCAGCAGGACTGCTTCCAGGTATGGGCATGGCTAAGGCAATCAATGGACCAAATAATACCTCATTTAGCTGGCATATTGGATGAAGGTTACCAGATTAGTGCCTGACAAGGAATAAGCTAAACAATTTCCTCCACTGTGTATTTTGCTTTCATGCTTAAGATTGATTTGTTCTTCTGATGAAGGAAAACTGTAAATGGTTTTGGAAAAACTAAATAAAGTGGTTGCAAATGCAGAGTGATGCATAATTAAGTAGTACATTTATAACCTGTATGTGGAATATGTGGCTCTTACTAATAAGAAGGCCAACCCTGAAACTGATTGTTTTTTTCACATTTTCTGAATAGTTCATTTCTCACATAAACAAAATTCCTTGGACTGACATAGAGTATTACACTCCTGTTTGTATCTGCATCATGAAATGGTGCAAATTATCCAGGAAATAAACATGCAAGGGATGAAGAATGTGTAGAACTTTGTGAATGGCAGGCACTGGAATTCTGTGGGCATAGATTCCGTGCATGTCCTGAGTTCTCTCACATACTTTTCAAAAAATATCTTTTGCTTTTCATGATGTCTGAAAAAATCCACCAGTGTGTCTGAGGTCCTCCAGATGCGTGCCGAAGATGCAGAAGAGACCCTTTTCCAGCTGGGTTTCGGTTGCGAGGAACCACAGGTGACTGCCCGCATCCCAGTCCGCTTCTTTAACTTTCCGTCCCAGCTCAGAGGCATCAATTTCCGCCTGTTCCTTGAATCCCAACTCACCAGGATACGCCAGGAAGACCCTTGTCTTTCATTAGCAAGTAAGGAATCACAGAGTTACAGAATGTTTCCTTCTAAATCTTTAGAGACATTGTCACATCCGCTCATCTTGTTTTGGCACAGGTCGTTTCCGACAAGTAGAGGCATTGACGGCAATGGCAAATGCTTTCTATTCGCTGTACTCCCACGTGTCCCGAACGCCACTTCAGAAGCTTGCGCCACCCCAGTTAACCTTCAGCTCCCCAATCGTGGAGAGGACCATGTCTCGAACCAGTGTCCGCAGTGAACCGCGCTCTCCTGTTGAAAGACTAAAAGACACTATCTCCAAGATGTGCTTGTACACGGGATCCCGTGGCTCGGACTCCACGTCACCAAGCAATTCACCTCGTAAGCGTAAATATAGTCTGTCAGGTGTAATTGAGAAGAGTGCAGAAAATGATGATGCTAATGACCAAGATTTATGCCTTCAAATGGAAGTAGATGATTTGGAACAAGACTTGGACTGGTTTGGAGAGAGCAAGACAGAACTTGAGGAGAAGACATACGAGGAAAACACTGAAAGGACTGATTATTTTGAGCCTATACCTTGTCATCCACTATCTGAGACGACAAATGAAAACATACACAACCTCAGGCATACATTAGCAGAGTGTCCACCTTGCCAGGAGCCAAGAACAGACATGGAGTCCAAAGGTGGTTCCCTGCCTTCTCTTCGTTTGAAAAGATCCGACGTTACCGTGAAACCTGTTCCTATCATTAGTCATGATATCATATGTCCTCAGGTTGTTGAATGTGTCAATCAGGCACCTTACCGCTGCTTACAGACAGATAGTATGGATGCCAAAGACTCACCTTTTGCACACCACACGACAAATAAACCTTCTGTAAGACAATCTAACGCAATGAATTTACACAAGTCGTTATGTCAGATTACAGTCACTGGATGGGAGGACGACACAACCCTCCCCAACAGAGACACACAGGAGCAGTGTTCATCCAACATCAAGAGGTACCTAAGCCCAGTAAAACCACTAAACCTGAGCAAACAAGGCAACTCCTTTGAACTGGAAGAGGTACGATATCTCCTATCATTTTAATGCATTTTTATGGCAAGAGCAAAAGCTTGCCCACACGAGTTCTCCCATAAGACGTCATTAACAGAATATTACTCAACTCCTTATTGCCGAATCCACCTACAAACTTCCTCTTCGTGTTCCTCCCTTGCATAGAGATTATAATGCGGCTTGTTGCTATTTTTAATGCTGCAAGCTTTTGTACCATTACTTTTTACACTTTTACTGTTGCTCTTACTTCAGGTCAGGAATTTAAAAACCATAAAGAACACCTTAGCAAGATTTTAGTAATGGAAAACAGCACTGACATTATCCTCTGACAATGGAAACATCTAGTTTTCTATACTGTTGTGGTGTTATCATTAAGTATAGTGTTTCAATTCAGGTTCACAGTGCAGAGGAAGAGGAAGCCACTTCATCAGAATTCTGCTCCACAGTCACATTGTCTGTGTCGGCACAGCATTCCAAATGTAAGTAACATGACTAGTCTTTACCATGATTAGAATATGTGAGGCAAATTTTAGCCACTAGTTTGACTAATTTTTTTTTTTCAGTTAAGTAAAACCAAGTCAACGGAATATCTGTTTATCAGCCATGCAGTGTTATCACCAAAATAAGCAAAATCACCCTTACAAGTTCACAGAAAGCAGCATGTGTTGATGTGGTGAGAAAGGGAGGTTGTGCTGACTTGTTAAAAACACATTGCAGTAAAATGCAAGAATTTGGTCCAGCTTATCTTGTCTGCCTTATCGCTAAACCATTTCATGGGGAAACAACCTAACAGGAAGTCGCAAGAAAATCTGCAAACTATCGTTTTTGTTCACAGAAACAGTTGAAAAAGAATTCTTGACTGCCTAAATTCATCAGTTTTCTTACAAATTTATAATTTCTCTTTCCCAGCGTCGCCTCTGCGAGGGGACAGTTTTCAGTCAGACAGCAGTGGATATGCTGAAGAGGATGTGCACCATTCCCTCTTTACCCCAGAGAAAACATAACATCAAAACTTAGGCTAACGAAGAAGCACAAAGTGTGTCTACTAATACCTTTTAAGTCGACATGAAATGGTGTTTGCAAACACATTTTTTTCTAAGTGGTTTTATCCATCAGGAATTTATTGGATTGACTTTTTCATTGGAATATCCTGTACAGATGAACCATGAACAATAAGACCAGTGGCCGGTTGCATAAATAGCTTGTTTTCATATGACGTCACGCCACTGCGTTGCCATGGCGCGAAATGCAAATGGAGGGCAGGAAGTGATTTGCTGTATTTAGAAAGCACTATAACAAACTCAAAATGCCTATGTTTTGCGTCGTTTATGGTTACTTAAATCGATCAAACCACGAGGAGTTTTTATCGTGTACCAAAAGTTGTTGTTCATAAAGGGGGAAAATTAAAGAAATTGACCGAAAAACTCTGGAAAAACGGCTTGCAAACCTACGTCTGCGGTCGGGAGGAGCCGAATGGGAAAATGCCCGTTTGTGCAGTGATCACTTCGTCAATGGTGAGTTAATACAACTTAAGTGGCTATGTTTGTGTAACGTGTAACATTTACGAACTTTGTAAAGTCAAAGTATGTCTGTAAGACGAGGTAGTTGCTGATATCTACCGCCTCGATGGCAGGAAAATCTTTCAATTCAGTTGAAAATCGCACCTCTTCATAACGTAAGGATCACGTCCAACATATGTTTGATTTTTTGTTTACATCTTTCTCTTGTAATAGCGTGTAAAGTAGTACAGTACGGACTTTCCTCCATCTCGTCCATTGCGCTCTTCACTCCCCTGCCCTCCATCTGAATTCCGCGCGTCATCATAATCACGTGACTGAAACCCAGCTATTGCTAGACTAATCTTACAAGTTAGTCATCTCTTTTTTCTTTAAAGGGATAGTACACCCAAAAATTAAACTTCTGTCATTAATTACTCACCCACGTCGTTCCATCATCAGAACCAAGCGGCAACCTCCCCGTCTCTCTCTTGAAACCAATACGGAAGTGAATTAAACTGCAATTCATCGACTGGCCGCTTGAGGCTGACAGCAAAAGGGAGTCAAATCTGTATCTCCCCATGTTAAAATGCCCAACTTCACAGCAGAAAAAAATATGTTTACAGCCTGGTGGCAAATAGTTGTTTTGGTCTATATAGCTAATTTTGCCCTTCATGACGACTGTGAGGGGGGTGAATTTTTTTTACAACTCATCCGTTTAAATTATATTAAGCCTTAAAGTTCTGCATAATTTAGGGCGTGGCCACTTGATTGACAGGTGGATTGCCGCTGCTGTCACTGCTAGTCGTTTGTCTGCTGTCTGTTAGGGCCGTTACATAGTCAACGCGAGCAAGCAACGCGAGCGACGCGAGCTACACGCTCCTTTTCATAGTACACAAGCAGACGCAAGCGCGTCACCGGCGATGCGTGGAATGCAATACACCGATCGCGCAACAGGGGGTAGTAGAGTCTAGAGTCGGGTCACGTGATATTCAGATCAAAATGGCAACTGAAGAGGAGTGCATATTGCTGATTTTACATCGGCGGCAATAAAACAAGCTCACATAACTTTTCCTCTTCGCCCGCATAGACAGTATAAGAAGTGGACAGAGTCATCTCATTGGAACTCAGTTGAGACAGTTGAAGCCCATTTTTAGCGATTTTTGAGCATTTCCGTTCCTGACGCGCAGACTCAAACCGACTCAAACTAAGCTTGATGACGTGAGCAACCTGTCTGACAGACGTTAATCTTCTAGTAGCTGTGCATGAAAGTTGCCGACGTTAATCTTGCAGAGACGGGGAACTTGAGCAAAGAGTTATTTGGCGTGAGTGAGCAGGAGTAAGTATTCCGTTGCTTTTATGGACTCATTATCTACGGGCTTCTCCCTTGACGGGACGTCCCCCCGATTGCCTGCGAGCTTCTCCTCCTGTCTGTACGGTCATTTCTGTACAGTGCGACAGAGAGTCGAGTGGTTATGACGCAATCGTTAGCCTATTTTTACTAAATCGGTTTCTACGGGGCCATAATGTAACATTGAAGGTAATGGAGCCCTTTATACATTGTCGTGTTTCTTTAGAAATAAATAATGCACAAATGGAGTCTTTAAACGCCTCAGATGTAAAGTTATTCGCTGTCAAAGTGACGCCAAAATGAATGGGAGTCAATGGAAATGCTAACGCAAGTGAAGTTCTGCTACAACATGGCGGCACCCGGCCGGCTTCAACTTCCGGTCGATGGATTACCCCCTTGTTCGCCCGCCATTGTATTCAAATCTTCTTCTTCTGTAAACATAATAATATACCTTTTTATGTACATTACTTGCAATGTCGCCCCCACCGACAACGCATAGTATTGCGTGCATCGGCACGTCGCGTATCAAAAACTAGGATGACACATTTGGCTACGCATCGACGCATAATGGCGGCCGAAGCGTAGCGATGTGTAGCCTTGCGCACGCGTATGCGTACCGATGCGTTGACTATGTAAGGGCCCTTAGCGTCACCCTCAGCTGTGTTTGTGCTTTTTTCGGGTTTATTTCATACAATTTAATACACGTATTATACCTTCGCCCATGCACGCCGTTGGATTCCGTCGTCGAGTATGGATAGAACAACCGGCGCTGTATTTCCAGTTGTTTCCCTCGCATGCACTAATGGATGTCTGACAATTTCATTGCTTTTTGGAGTTTATATTCAAAAACGTCTGTAGATATAGAGACCACACTCGTTATGCGGATATGCTTATTTAACTTTTTAGTGTAAAATAAAAAGTACCGTCAGATGAAGTCCTGCTCGTGTCAGTGCTTTCTCTCCGTCCATGCAATAGATGCACACACTTAAATGAGCGCGGTTTTTTAGTTCATTTACTTGAACTTCTGAGGTAATATCTTTGGTTTAACCCATCTGAGAATTTGAGAGGCGGCCAAAATCAGATTTTAAAATGGACTGAATAAAGCTCTTTACGAACTTGACGTGCGAGCTGACTGACATGTACGCGCACGAATCACTGTCACACGCACAAGCTCAGAGCAATATTTTAAGTTACTGTCTGCATGATAATACATTTTTAACGCATCACGATACACATAGTTGACTTCTTGTATGCTGTGAGAAATGTGTGTGATCTGTGTTATGTACTGTTTTATACATGCGCTGCTCTTAACTAATTGGCCCTTGTCGGATTAATAAAGTTGATAAAAAAGTAAAATAGTCTCACTTTTAGTTACGTCTTTTAACTATTGTAGTATTTCGAAGGGCAAAAACATTAACTTTAACTATTGGCTTTACTTATTCAAACAGCTGTCACTTTAGCGCGAGGCCAGTAGCATATAGCATTAGCACCTCAGCTCCACCCACGTTCCGCCTCTTTGCCCATTTTATTTTATCCGGGAGTGACGAGAGGTGACGCGCTGCCAAGATGGCGACGGTCGGCGACTCCCACTTTAGGCTTCAAAAACGATCTTCAGAAACCTACGGGTGACGTCACGGATACTACGTCCATATTTTTTTACAGTCTATGATCAGAACACAAAATATCTTCTTTTGTGTTCAGCAGAAGAAAGAAATTCATACAGGTTTGGAACAACTTGAGGGCGAGTAAATTATGACAGAATTTTCATTTTTGGGTGAACTGTTCCTTTAAGCTTCTGAAATTGAAAAAAAAAAAAAAATTAGATTGGTCTCATTTGAATCTGAAAAATGTTAGATTATTAACTGCTTGTATCATAATAGTTCTTAAGACATGCAACTGGCCCCTGGAGCATGCATTAATGTTGCTTTCATGTTGACTTTAACGTGTTTACCAACAGGCAGCATACAGTGATGCATATTAACTTCTGGTTTTTAACTAGCTTTATTTGTGTTATGCTTTTCACTCTGTGCACTTTTTGGTCTTATTCTTGACATGAGTGAGCGGCAGTACATGTTGCTTTTATTTGTAATTACTCAATAGTAATAAATAATTTATTTGAATTATGGAGTTATGGTTGGCTGGTGTGTTATCAGACAAGTTCCTTAACTAGTTGAGGATGACCCAGAACCCCCCCAAAAAGTTACTGATTTGAATACTAACATTTTGAAACTCACTTTACCCAAATTTTTTCAAAACAGCTGTCATTGAAGCCAAGTCCTGAAACTCTACACAAGTATGTGAACACAAAACAAGCGGTTTCAGTTTGTAGCAGCATGTCTAATCAAATGGTGTAATAGCATGAACATTCTTCTTCAGATTAACTTCTGACATTGCAGACATTGAAAGTCATCTCTACTGCGCCCTTGTGGTGCAATATAGCATGTTAAGTAATTACAACAGGTACACACTTTCTATTAATATACCGTTGTCTAGGGTTAATTGATTTTGCTAAATGACAAAATCCCACAATCATTACAAAAGATAATGTCAATTTCAAGTTTATTGTTCAAGATAAAATATCCAATAGATTACAGATTAACCAATTTGTTACAAATTACATATGTTGTCACAGTACTACTGTTGGTCATCAATTTTATTATTCTGAATATGAAAATTACAGTTACTCTCAAATACAGAGTTCAATCTTTGCCAGTCCAAATGTAATGATGAAGCCTGGGAGGCAGAAACTATTACACCGAGGTAGATATTAACCACAAACTGTCAGGCTCATATATATCTTCAATGGCTGAGAGAAAAAGACTACTTTACAAATATATTCTACAAGACAAAATAAATGTTAAGGAATAACTTCTATTACTAAAAAAAATTATGAAATTAAAATATACAAAAGTCACATATTTACAAAGTAAAAAAAAAAAAAGTCATGCCGTCTATTTTAGTTTAATCAATTCATCAAGTTCATACAGTATCTATGCCATAATTTAAATGAAAAAAGAAAATCAGAGGGAAAGTTAAAAGTTGAAGACTTCTGGGCAAATTATTTGTGTAGAAATTGTCCTCAGGTTTCACATGAATAGTGTACCCAGTCTTTGTTTGGAGGCACTGTGGAGCGAGGGTAGACTTTGTGTCATATTCAAGGAGAAAATGATGCAATCAGTACGTCCTCCAACTGGGACTCAACAGACCATTATGTTTTGCAGACCATTGTAGTGCATCTACTGTGTCAAACAAACAAGCCCGTCACAGAACTGGTGGTAGAAGAGTAAAACTTCAATTCACCTGACTTTCCTATTTTACCCTGGGAAACAAAAAGAAGGGGAAAAAAAAAAAGTTACAGGTGAGCAGTTGCTCTGGCTTATTTCCCCCCTGCCATGATCTTGAGGTACTGAAGGGCATTGTGGGCAGCGCTGGCACGTGCCGCATCCAGGCTGGGGGCAAATCCGTGGCAGACGGTAATCGGCTGTGTGGACAACTCCACCAGACACTGGTAAAGGCCGCTCAAACTGCGCTCCTCTGAGTGAACAAATAAGATTACATTTCTAAAAGACATCCATCTTCAGAATCTGAGCAAGCACTAAGGCTGGCTCTCGTTTTGCTTATTCACATGAGCAAAGTTAGTTAGTGGTTTCAGTATCTCATTAAAGCACCCTTGTATCTCACCTATGTCCAGGTAGCTGACATCAAAGCGTTGTTCCTCAGAAAGTTCATGAAGGAGAGAACAGAAATTGGAGTCATTGGTGTCGGGCTGGCCGAGAGGATGGCAGCGCAACTGTAGGATTTTCTCTCCAGCCGAGTTCCGCAGAGAGTCCCACGTGCAGCCCAGACCTTTACACTTCCCTCCCTCAAGTCTGCCGCCCATTTGCTGTTGAAAGAAGATGAATTTTTAAACCGGCAAATTCTTGAAACCACACTGAAATCGAGACTACAGCGTAATACCCATTACTAAATAATGCCCGTCTTACCGAATTGAAGGTGTCTTCTTCGGCTTCGGCCTCATGGCTGCTACGCATGTCCACTGGTACATCATGGATACGAGAGAGCATCTTTGCCGCTGCATTTCTTTTAGCAAGCTTTTTTGATGTGCCACTACCTTCAAAACAATGTCAAATTAAGAAGACAGTTTTGACAAAGAAACATTTAATCCTTTGAATGGGTTGCATATTTAGAAATAACGACTATAGACAAAAAAAAAAGTAATACGTACCTATCTCAACAAATCTCTCCACCCTGCAGGTCATTGTAAATTCTTTCCGGTGCGCAGGTCCAGATTCTTGTGTGACTGTGTACTCAGGTAAACGCCAGCCTTTCTGCACTACTAGTTCCTGTGGAAATTGCATTGCATTTTATTTTGCATTATTTTTTATGGCTGATTATCAACATGTATGCTTATATATATATTTAAATAAATAAACTGGAGGTAAGCCCTGACATTATCTCCTTCCAATATTGGCCTAAAGTGGTTGACGCTAATAATTAAACACGAATATCAGTCAATATATTATGCATGCTTAATTGCTACATCAAAAAGCATCACACACAGACCTCTTTCCTTTGACTTGTAATCTATGAAGTACAAAGCACATACACAATACGGTAGTTCAGTGAAGGCAAAGGATCTTGATCGCTCACCTGCAAAGCTCCAACTGGATTGCACTCAGCTTGTTGTGATGAATTGGATGATTTCATCTCTGACTGAGAGCTAAAACACGATGTAAAGAGAGAAACCTCTGTTAATGTTGTTGTTTTTTAGAGTATGCCAACTTATTTCTGTACTTCATGTAATGCATTTTCTGTTCAAATGGACTCCAAGCACAGAATCATATCTTTACCATTCTCCCTCCATATCAATTCCGACAAACCCTTCTCCCTCCATCCCATTTCCTTCGATCCCTCCCAGCATTCCTCCTTTCAGCATTTTCAGGGCAGCTTCGGCAGCTTTGTGCTTGGCAGCTTTCTTGCTGGGTCCCTGGCCGGTGCAGCTGATGTCGCCCACAGACACACGGAAGGTGAAGTTGGGCTGGTGGGCCTGACCCTCAGCCTTAAGCAGGTCGTACACTGGAGTCTTGCCTATCCGCGTTCCATATTCCTGCAGCAGACTGATGGGCGTCTTCCCGGGGTTCGCAGCCAGCATTTGCTCAATACTGTGAACGGAGGAACATAAAAACACATGGAGAAGGATGCTACAGTATCAGACTCTAAATGTGTTGGTTTTTCAGGTAAGACTACTTCTGTCAGTTACACAAAACTAGGTATGCATTGCTACCCTGTGTTAAACAATAACAGTGCAAGCTTAAGTAAAAGTCATTTATCAAAATAAGATGCCAGAGATTCAGGGTCGTACATTACATGGTTAGTTCACCCAAAAATGAAAATTATCATATAATTTACTCACCTTCAAGCCATCCTAGGTGTATCATGTGTCGGGTCAGATATCACTCTTCGGCTGGAACTACACTTGAATATGGCTGTTACCGGAAGCCAGTGATTATAGTTGTAAAGTTATAAATATGGATATTTTTCTTACAAAATTGCATCACTTCGCTTCAGAAGGCCTTTATTACCCCCTGGAGCCGTATGGATTATTTTTAGGATGATGCGCTTTTTGAAACTTCAAAAACTCAGGCTCCACTCCAATTATAAAGCTTGGAAGAGCCAGGATATTTTTTAATATAACTCCGATTGTGTTTTTCTGAAAGAAGAAAGTCAAATACACCTATGATGGTTTGAGGGTGGGTAAATAATGGGATTTTTTTTTTTATGGGGGGGGGGGGGGGGGTGAGCTAACCCTTTAAGAGTCGAGGTCGAGGAATCGATTCTTTTGGAGTCGACTCCCCATCACTAGTGGCGTGTGTCCTCAGTCGTTTTGTATGGTGCGTAGTTTTTCCTCTGTAACCATTTACAAAGTCAGCAGGTGTATGATGCCTGGTATTTTAAAATCGGTTCAGATTCGTTCAGAAGTCGTGCGGTGTATTCCAGTTTTTAGACAGTGATTCGAAGGATCGATTTAGGTAATTCGAATGTTCTAACGTTACATTTAAAGTGTGTTGAAAGGCAGGAAACACGGGTTCTGTTTGTCTTGCCATTAAAAAATGTATTACAAAATAATAAAAAACAAATCTGTTTGTCGTGGTCATTTCTGAGCTAAAAGCCGGTGAGTGGTTCATTTTACCTGGTATACCCAGAGTTTCTCTTGCCGTTATCCGGGCTTTTCTCGTCGTTCATTCCCCAATAACAGATAGAGAGCTGACTTGCTTCGGACTGCAGAAACCCCCCGAGGTGACTGTAAGCCCCCTGGTATCATTAATAAGTTTCTGTGCGGGGAAGACTGAGGCACGAGGAGACAGTGAACCCCTCTCTCTCACACCTTCCCGCATTACACATTACAAGCAAACTGAATTATGAAGCGGACAACAAGGGCGGCCATTGTTTTTTCATAATAAAAGTCTCGACATTGACGGATGCCACGAAGCCTGTCAAAACCGTATCCGGGTCACATTTCACAAAGGATAAAGAAAATAAATCATTCCATGAAGTATTTTTTTAGCGTCATTAAGATAATTTAAAATGAATGTTATGAGAATCTTATTTGAAGATAATCAGAATATGGTCCACTTCACTCACTGGCTGTAACTTCAATAAAACACATTTTAAAAATCAAGTTTCTAACCTGAGGAAATTTGCCTTCAAAGTCTGCCTTCCCATAATACTGTAGTGTTTTAGGTATACACGTGCATTGCAAAAATAATGTATTTGCTATATTAAATGCATATATTAGAAGCAGACTTGTTTATTGCTATTGCTTCTTAGACCCAAATATATTCCAATATACAAAAAAGCATTATTTGAAGGATTAGATCACTGTAATGTTGTCACAGCTGTTGTTGCTAAACTCCTAATTTGTTTTTATTCATATTTAAAGTGTTAAGGCATAATATGCATAGCCTACCTTTTCAGTAGCTATTATTCTTAAATCTTAGTCTATTCTCATTTATCACTTCTATTCCTGTTCAACTGTAGGCTAGATAATCAAAATCTTTCATTTCATTTCAGTTTCAACATGAATTGTGGTTTGCTTAAGGGCACAATCCATCTCATCTTTCAAGTATTTGATGAGCTTAAATCAGCACTATAGTTACAAATGGGACACACATGTCCCCAGTGCCCAGATCAGCGGCACATTCCTGAACCCCTGACCTAAGAGCTGCAAATAAACACACACACAGCACGTGTCCCATTTCAACTGACAACTAAACACCAGAAGAGAGGTAGGGAAATGGAAATAGTAAAAAACATAAAAAGCAGTTTTATTTAAGTGACACTCCTGAGGTTAGTGAGCTGGCAAACCACTGTATGAAATGCAATTCTTTAAATGTGTAACCTAGTAAAACAATATCAACCGTATCTACATTTTCAGTGTAAACGGAACAATTCAAGATATCACTAGAAAACCAAATCCATCACTGGATATGAAAAATCGCTGCTAGGTTCAAAGTTCACTTTTGAGTACAAAGTAAGACTGAGGAACATTTCAACAAATGTGAAGTATCATGTTTCACGTAATTCAGTGGGGAATAGGGATCATTTAAAGTCCTCAGAAAAAGTCTTTAATTTTGAATCGTTATCTTAGTAACTTTCATTGGCTGAAATGTCTTTTTCATCTAGTTCTTCCTCAGCAGGTTCTTCTTCCTCCTCAGAGTCTGGCACATCTTCTTCCAAGTCTTTCTGATTCACAATTTCATCAAGTGGCTCCTGTGGTGTCTCCTCCTGACTGATATCTTCATCTGCATGATCTTGTGAGAAGTTCTCCACAGCCTCGGCCACACTTGCCTTAATTTCCATCTCCTCCGTGGAAGTTGGGTCTTCCTCGGAAGGAATGCTTTCTGTTTGCTCCATGACAGTTTCTTCTTCTTGGATTGGAATCTCCTCAGTTATTTCATCCGTCTCAGTTAGTGCTTGCTCCTCAAAAGCATCTCCATCCTTGATCTGAACTTCCTCGTGTTTCGCACTCTCCTCAGTTACTACTTGCTTCTCAATAACTTCTTCTTCCCCCAGGACTTGAACCTCCTCCTCTGGTTCCTCCTCGTCAGATACCCGCAGTTCCTCAGATATTTCATCCTGTTGAGTTACTGCTTCCTCCTCAACTTCTTCCTTGTGGAATGGAACCTCATCAGCTTGTTCATCCTCTTCGGTTACTACTTGCTCCTCAGATGCATCTTTTTTTACTTGATCTTCCTCAGGAATTTTCTTCACATCGGCATGCTCTTCAGCAGGTTCTTCTCTGTGGACCTGAACATCCTCAGCTGGCACTTTCTCCTCAGGTACCAATTGCTCGCCTTCTTCAACATGAACCTCGTCGGTTACGGTTTCCTCCTCAGTAACGGTTTGATCCTTTTGATCCTTGATTGGAACTTCCTCCTGAGTTGCTGCTTGCTCCACTTGCTGGGTTTCTACTGGAATATTTTCCTCTGAACTTGGCTGCTGGCTTTCAGATACCACCTGAAATACATAAAGAACATTGTGCCAAATGCCCAAATAATCACATATGGAGAAAACGAAACCTTAAGTACTATACCTGATTCTGGACGATATCAAGCTGGGAAGCAAGGTGAGAGTGAAGGCTGTGAGTACTCTTCTGATGGTCCTCCAGATTCCTACGGACAGCCACAAGCTGCTCCTCAAGAGCTTGGGATCTTCTTGTCTGTTCCATCTCCAGCAGATCCCTGGTAGAGAGACCAAATAAAGATGAATTAGGAATAATCAATATCAGTAACAACACCAAACTGATAAGACCCAAAAATGCTTAAGAGAATTCCATTATATATGATCCCACAAAACACCTACTCACTTGATGTCCATCACCTCTTGTCTGTTCCTTTCAAGAGCCTTCTTGTTTCTAACAAAATATTCCTTCAAGCTTTTAAGTTCCATTCTTTGTTCCTCCAACTCAGATGTGAGACCCTCTACAGTAGACATCTGCTCGTCGAGACGTGATTTGGTGACCAAAACAGTGTCTGTGAGCCCAGAAATGGTAACAGCTACGTCAGTGTTAGCAGTGAGGATAGAACTAAGCCTCTGCTTCAGAGTTTCAATCTCTTCAGTCTTATTCTTGGCCACTGCATTCAATGCTGCAGTTGAAACAAACTCTTGCTGGAGTTCAGAAAGTCTGCCATTCATCTCAGACTGAAGAGACCAGACTTGGCTTTGAAGATCAGTAGATTGGATTTTTTCTGAGGTGGCCAGGGCGACGTCTGCCTTTTTTTGGGCCTGCGTGTAGGCCTCTTCCAGTGTTTGTAGACGCTCTTCAAAAACACCCACATCGGCGATCTAGATATATAGACAACATATTTGAAATTCAATGAAGTTCAATTATTCATCTGATTATTATGCAACATTTCATCCAATTAGCCATTTCTTGAGCCTAACCTAGCTGTCTGTTAGTGTTGGTTCAGTCCAGTGTTCTGTCAATCTACAATTGCAATTAGCATCTGAAAATTCATCAATCATACATTCAATCTACAGTGTTATAGTAATTCGATTATCATAAGGCCACTGTGAATAATTTAGGATATAAAAAATAAGGTGAATTTATAAGCTCAGATGCTCTGTTGCCAGCCAGTTACACTACTAATAATTTCATTCAGTTGATTTTCAAAAGGAAGGTATTATAAAAACAATGCTGGTGTTGATCTTTAGATGATTAGAGAGTTACCAAGGTTTTTAAAGAAATCTGTAATTAAAATGTATACTTTTAATTTGATTATAATTTGATTATAATTATGTTTTCCACAAAGCAGATATTGAGTGTAGTTGCTGTAAAACCACTGACATTTAAAATAGTGACATTTTCTTTAATTCAAATTCAATTAAGATAAAATGAATTTATTAATTTAAAGTGCTATTTGTGCTAATGATTTTATATTTTACTATAACATTATTTAGGCTAGATTTTTTTTTGAAAATGAGCACTTTAATCCATGATGGTGTACACCTTTTATAGGAAGCAGAGTTGACAAGACTTATTGCTTTATTAAAGAGAACTGACAGCATTTAGTACTGCAGTTATCGAATGGTCATCAGTGAAAGAAAAATTGCTTGACAATTGTTGATACATTAATACATTGCATTTCTGATCATTAATGCAGTGCTGACCACCTTTCAGATGGAGGAGTAATTTGCATGATTTTTTTATATCTTCACGTTTACATGTTGGTTTGAATTCCATTTGTATAAAGTCCTATAAACAAGCCAGCCTGGCAAAAGGAAACACGATCCTGCTCAGAACAGACTATTAATGGCCTGGGAGCCACATGACACAATTCAGCGAATGGAATATTCAAAGGGCACATGAGGCATGCATTGAGACTTGTTATTAAGTATTTTGTACAATCAAATTACAAATAATATAATATGTACACCATAATATATAAACTTGAGCAAGTAGGCTACTATGTAGTACAAAATGTTCCAATACGCACAAATTGTTTCCTGTGGGTAAAAGTAAGGAAACTTATTTCTTTCATTTCAAAGTTAATTTATATATATTAAAATAAAATAAAACACTTGTTAACTAACTGTAGAGTATCCCAAAATCAAATACCTGTGCATTACCCATCCCCAACTGCTGTTGGAACTTGGTTATCCTAAGTTGCATTGCATTGACTGTCTCTGTCAGACTGTCGATGGTTTGCTGTTGCTGAATGGAGAACCAGAGTGCCGATGATCCCCCGACAGCGAAAATAAAGATGACAATGGCAGGGACAGCATATTCTTTAAATCCCCTCTGTGGTGTTACAGATGGCTTCTCCAAGAGCAGCAAACTGTCGTCCTGTTTAATGGCACTTTTTCCTTTGCGCTTGGTCATCTTGGCTTCGCGGATGATCTGCACTGTAGACTGCAACACTCCCACTTACTCTGAGTTATTCAGTGATTTGAATAATATCTGGTACCGCTCTACCAGAGCTTAACGCTGTATTGGCCGACAACGACGGGGAACAATCAAAAGTGAACTTTTAAGCAAGAGGACTGTGAGTAGGGGGCGTTGCGCACTGGAGGCGGTCTCATTTTCATGGCGCTGTGCAGCAAGTAGCCTACCTACTGTATGTTTTTAGAGAAAATTACATAATTTCATCAAAAAGCTTAATTTATTTTGAATATTGCATCATTTTAATAAGAAAACAATCTATTTTATTAAGCGAAATCTGTTTTAATGTTATAGAGTATTATAAAAATGCATCATTATTTGTTTTTAAATATTTTTTAAAATAACAAAATCATTTTTTGAAAATGTTGTATTTTTAGATGGAGGCTTTAAATAAGCATTTAGGCCTATGGGTGCTATACTAATAATAGTTATGGTTACTAATCTGTAATCTATCCATCTATCCATCATCTATCCATCCATCCATCATCTATCCATCCATCCATCATCTATCCATCCATCCATCCATCCATCCATCCATCCATCCATCCATCCATCCATCTATCTATCTATCTATCTATCTATCTATCTATCTATCTATCTATCTATCTATCTATCTATCTATCTATCTATCTATCTATCTATCTATCTATCTATCTATCTATCTATCTATCTATCTATCTATCTATCTATCTATCTATCTATCTATCTATCTATCTATCTATCTATCTATCTATCTATCTATCTATCTATCTATCTATCTATCTATCTATCTATCTATCTATCTATCTATCTATCTATCTATCTATCTATCTATCTATCTATCTATCTATCTATCTATCTATCTATCTATCTATCTATCTATCTATCTATCTATCTATCTATCTATCTATCTATCTATCTATCTATCTATCTATCTATCTATCTATCTATCTATCTATCTATCTATCTATCTACCATCCATCCATCCATCCATCCATCCATCCATCCATCTATCTTTATACATACTGATCCATGGATCTAGTTAGTAGGCCTCTATATTACAATAAAATAATTTGCTGAAATATTAAGAACTTGTCATTTTGGTAATTTATCGATGGTGTTTTTTCAGTTCATTTAATTCTGTTTCTTTTTTTCTATTTTGCAGACTCTTCAGATGGTTGATGATAAACACTGACATTATGGAGCTTCACATTTGGGTATCACAACAGTTTCATTGGATGTAAATGAAATTAGCTATATGGCTGGATTGTCTTTACTTGACATAGGCTGCTGCATGTGACTTGTGTCCTTTCATTTGAATTTGTCATAGATGGCCTCTAGTCTTTGATACATCTCAAGGAGATAGATAGATAGCTAGATAGCTAGATAGATAGCTAGATAGCTAGATAGATAGATAGATAGATAGATAGATAGATAGATAGATAGATAGATAGATAGATAGATAGATAGATAGATAGATAGATAGATAGATAGATAGATGAATAGATGGATAGATACATGTTTTGTTATTATTTTTAATAAGACCACATCAATTACAACATTTATTCCAAAAGAAATATGATCACATAAACTGTTCTTTGAAGTCGTCCTTTCTTTACTCTGTAAGACAAGAAAACAAAAAAAGTTGTAGTTAAATGCCTAAAAGTTCAAATGTAAGTCATTTCAATGTCAAATCTCATTGCAAAAATATACAATTCGTAACAATTATAAATAGCAGAATTAATATTCAAATAGAAAACATACCTTTGACTATAAGTTTGGTGGAGCACTCATCATGACCAAGAGGGCTTTCGGCAACAACTTTGTACTCTCCCATGTCTTTGGGTCCAACCCTCAGGATGAGCAGTGAACAAACACCACAAACGTTTGTTATGTAGTAGTTGGGGTTTGTGTTGAGGCTGACATTGTTATGGTACCAGGTAATATGTGGCGTTGGGTTGCCCGTCGCAGCACAGCTCATGTAGCACTCATAACCTGGCGGAGCATTGTGAAGTTTTAAAGAGACAATAAATTTGGGGGCTGCCTGGAAGTCGAGGGTCCTTAAAACAGGCATGCTGCATGTGAATTTTTCTGAAAATGATAGAGAATATTTACATTAAATTCAACTGAAAAAGCGATCGTTTCAGTTTAATAATATTTATTTTGGTCACCTCACAAGAAAAGCAATGCCACTGTTTTTAGCATCTGGATAATATTGTTCAAGTAAAGGTACAGTAAATGCTAGAGGGATGTGAGCACATGAAGCACAAAACATGCAGACCATCACTGGCAAAAGAATAATCCAGAGCTTGTGTAAAAGTAGTCTTATACTGCAGCTGTCAACCTTATTGGTACAACATTTTCAGAACAAGACAAGGCAGAGATAGTTTAGTGGCTATGTGTCAGAGACAGCAGCTCAAATCCCAGAGGTATGAACCTGGATAAGGGTGACCCATAAAGAGAGTTTCGTAGATCTTCTATCATCACTGCCCTTGAGCAAGACACTTATCTCTGGCTTCTCCAAGGGACTCACAGCAATTAGTGTTCTGTAAATTGCTTTGGGAAAAGGTGCCTGTTCAATGGAAAGTAGCCTAGACCACTGCACCGTTGGATCTGCAGCTTAGACCACTGATTGCCCAAACATAATTTGTTTTCAGAATTATTTATTTGGGTAGTTGACGCATGTGTCAATGGATTTTTTTTATCACCATCAAGATTTTAAATTAAAATGTATATGATTGCATGCATTTTAAATGTCCCTGTGGCAATGAGGTCCTGAAATCTGCATGCATACCCTAGTGAAAAAAAACCTAGGCCTACACCAAAATGTATTTTAAAATACGTTTATTTCATACTAAGTAGGCTATACTAGAAATCAATTAATATATTTACTGACATATCGCTTGAGACTTACAGAAATAAATATTATAATTAAACTTTATTCGGAGTATTTCTTTATCGCACAATGCACATTTTTAATATTAAGCCTAATGTGTTTTAATATCCCTATTAGTAAATGCAAGATATTTAAAGCTGCAGTCCAGTTTTTCCTCTTTGTCCCCATCTCTGTTTGAAATCTGCAATTGCAGTTTTTCGCGGAATTATCAACTTTACGTGAGTTGTGCCCTATTTGTTTTTTTTACAGTCTATGGTTGTGCCCTGGTTGTGCCTCGGCATGGCACTTCGCGGATGAATCCAATGTTGTGAGGAGAATGAATGTCAGTCACCGCCGGTGTGGAGACTGTCATTCGGAAACACAGATTCTAGTTTTTGGAAGTATGACCAACATAAGAATTTTCACCCAAAAATGTCATCTGAACAAGTAAGTAACATCCACGTTTGTTCTTTTGACCATATAAGGGGAAAAAAACATTGCAGTAAATCGCGCTGATTAAATTTAACTTGCTTATCATATCCCGTCAAACCATGCAAATTATACTTTGTTCTCAAATTGTTAATGTTCAACATCAGCATTGTGTGACTACATTTAATGCCCTTCCGATATTTATCCTTGTTTTCGCATGGGCTGGTTGCAGTCTCTTTTTTTCTGTAGCCACTCCGAAGTCCGAAGTCTTAACTTATTGCATTTTACAACGGGTGAATCTCCAGTTGTCACTGGTGATTGTCGTTCGGACCTTTCTGGATCCGCCATCAAATTAATAAGTTTAATTATATCAAGTGCTGTGAGAAAAGGGTATAAATCTCCACCTCCAACATCTTCACAGCCGAGACTCCTTCTTTGTGTGTACAGATGTGACGTAATGACGCAAAGACATGCTCGAATTTCCCGCGGAAATCCACCAGTACCACTGGAGTTAAAAACATTATTACAAGCTTACCGTTTTGAATCGAGCTAAGGCAAGCAGATAGTTTTGAACACTGGCTGGTTATGTACGTGCTCAAAAATTTATTTTGGATAATTTTTAACCCTAAAAAGTTACGGACTGGAGCTTTAAAGTGGAACAAAATTATACTCTCAATAGTTCCACTTTAGCACAGTCAAATATACTTAACAATATCTTTAGTTGGACCTCAGCACTATTTCCTGATAACTAAAGTGCATTAAGTACAAAATTAGTTGTTCCAATTCAGCAGACTTTAAGTATACAAATTTAGAATACTAAAAGTGCAATTGCAGGGTATTTATATAAAGTACATAAATACGTAAATGTATTTGTAGTATATTATTTAGCATAAAATAAATATATTTCCAATACTTTTCAGTATATTTATTTTTCACTTGGGTAGTAAGAATAAAATTAAACTAAACCAACTAAACCAAGAAAAAAACTAAACCAAAAAATGTCAACAAAGTCATCCACAAACCTCTTTGTTTGGTGGTTCCCCAAACTGGAGACACTGATGGCTCTGAGAGACCTATATCATTCTTGGCAAACACTCTGAAATTGTACTCTCTTCCAGGCAAGATGTTAATGACTGTGAATTTGTTGTTGAACAAGCGGTCAACCACTGTGCGCCATGTTTGCTTGACAGAGTCCCGCTTCATCACCATGTAATGCAGATGGTTGTCTCGTTTCTCATCGGGAGAAGGAGTCCATGACAGAGTCACGGAGCCATGGACATTTTCTTCCAGTTCTACTGGACCTGGAGGCTTGGGATCATCTGAAGATTGAAAATAAACAGGTGCCCATATAGTTACCATCAGTATATAAGCTAGTCACTTAAACAGTATATATAGAAGTTTTAGGTAAGACATTTGATTAGAAAGATTAGAACTGTTACCAGTGACTCTTATTTCAATAGCGAAGGTGTCCTGGCCCACCATATTCTTCACATTGACCATATAGAGGCCAGTGTCAGACACCTCTGATGTGTAAATAAATAACTGAGAACCTTTTTCAAAACTAGTAATCGTCACACGTTTGGCTACTGGAACACCATCCTTTAGCCAAGTGATGTCTGGTAAAGGAGAGGCCTGTGGATAAAATTAAAGTCATTAGATATTATATAAAAAACAGATGTGTCATTTTGTAGTGTTTGAATATGCTTTTGGTATAAGATAAAAAAAGGATGAGTTTCCCTAGTAGAGTGTTGAAACTTGTGGTTATGGTAAGGGGCGTGACATTTCTGAAACATTTATTGAC